TGTACTGCAAACTTGCGATTTTTGAGCTGGAGCTGCTTGTATTTCGTGTACTTGACTTGTACTACAAAGCTGCGAATCGGTTTTCGAGCTGGAGCTGCGGAAGTGTACTTCGCGTACTAGGCTTGTACTACAAAGTTGCGATGTTCGAGCCAAATCTGCGAAAGTTCGAAAACACTGTAAAACGACAAGGTCTCCCCCAAAAACGATAGCGTTCAAAAAAGTACTAGGGCCAACTAACAATTTTGTCCGCTCCTCAGATGTTTTCAGTCCGATCATGCAAAAACCGTGCGTTTTTTGCGTTTCGATATCTACACCTTTCTTTTCAAGAGTGTTCATAGAATATTATTTCACCGCGCTTTCGCCTCAGCGAAACGCTTCAGGGTCCTAAAGTCGGTTTCAACACCATGAAAGGGCAGCAATGCGGTTTTCAACGGTAGTTCCAGATATCTGACCAACCACAACCACAACCCACAACCAACAAGCAAACCACAAACAAGAAACAACCAAGAACCAACAACAAACAAGAAACAACCAACAACAAACAGGAAACAACAGGGTTGTGGGATCAGGGGGTTTATCCCCCACTTCTGTGATACAAGGGAATCCCTTCTTGTAATATAACAGGATTCATCTTTGGGAGGCCGTGACTGTTGTATCACAAGAGTGGTCATGTCCTACAGCCCTGAGAAACAACCAATAGCCAACAACAAACAAGAAACAACCAACAGCCAACAACTAACAGCGTGGGCAGGCATGCGTGCATTTAAGCGACATGCGCGTGGGCGGGTGTGCTTACCATGTGCCAGGCTGAGTGCGGTTGATCGTCGTGCGTGTGGGCGGGCGCGCTTACCGTGTGCCAGGCATGCAATGCGTGCATTTGAGCGACATAGGCGTGGGCGGGTGTGCTCACCATGTGCCAGGCATGCGTGCATGTAAGCGACATGCGCGTGGGCGGGTGGCCGGGTGTGCTTACCAAGTGCCAAGCATGGGTGCAAGTGACGCGGAACGTGCGAAAGGCTTCGTGGACCAAATGCGGAACTGCGATTTTGGGCCCGTGGCAGGCATGGGAGATTGCTAAGAGTGCGACATCAAAAGTGACGCGCCTGCTGGGGGCGGCTGAACAGCCGCATGCCAACAACAACGACAACAGCAACGGCAGCAGCAGTAACGACAACAACAACAACAACAACAACAACAACAACAACAACAACAACAACAACAACAGCAAGAGCAAGAGCAGCAGCAGCGACGACGACGACGACGACCACCACCACCACCACCACAACAACAAGAACAAGAACAAGAACAAGAACAAGAACAAGAACAACAACAACAACCAGAACCACAACCACAACCACAACCACAACCACAACCACAACCACAACCACAACCACAACCACAACAGCAACAGCAACAGCAACAGCAACAGCAACAGCAACAGCAACAGCAACAGCAGCAGCAGCAGCAACAGCAACAGCAACTGCAACTGCAACTGCAACTGCAACTGCAACTGCAACTGCAACTGCAACTGCAACTGCAACTGCAGCAGCAGCAACAGCAACGGCAACAGCAGCAACGACACCAATGTCACCAACGACACCAACGACACCAACGACACCAACGACACCAACACCACCACCACCGCCAACAACAACAACCACAACAACAACACCAACAGCAGCAGCAGCAGCAGCATCAGCAGCAGCAGCAGCAGCCGCAACAGCGGCAACAACAACCACAACAACAACCACAACATACCACAACCACAACCACAACCACGACGACGACGACGACGACGACGACGACGACGACACGACGACGACGACGACAACAACCAACAACACCAACAACCAACAACAACAACAACAACAACAACAACAACAACAACAACAACAACAACAACAACAGCAACAGCAACAGCAACAGCAACAGCAACAGCAACAGCAACAGCAACAGCAACAGCAACAGCAACAGCAGCAACAACCACAACCACAACCGCAACCGTGACAACGACAACGACAACGACAACGACAACGACAACACCAGCAGCAGCAGCAGCAGCAGCAGCAGCAGCAGCAGCAGCAGGAGCAGCAGCAGGAGCAGCAGCAGCAGCAGCTTCAGCAGCAACAACAACACCAACACCAGCACCAACACCCACATCAACAACAACAACAACAACAACAACAACAACAACAGCAACAGCAACAGCAACAGCAACAGCAACAGCAACAGCAACAGCAACAGCAACAGCAACAACAACAACAACAACAACAACAACAACAACAACAACAACAACAACAACAACAACAACAACAACAACAACAACAACAACAACAACAACTGTTTTCAGTCCGATCATGCAAAATCCGTGCGTTTTTGCCTTTCGATATCTACACATTTGTATTCAAGAGTGTGAGCAAGGGTCCAAAACGAAAAGTCGGTTTCAACACCATGATAGGGCAGCAATGCGGTTTTCAACGGTAGTTCCAGATATCTGACCAACCACAACCCACAACCAACAAGCAAACCACAAACAAGAAACAACCAAGAACCAACAACAAACAAGAAACAACAACAAACAAGAAACAACAGGGTTGTGGGATCAGGGGGTTTATCCGCCACTTCTGTCATACAAGGGAATCCCTTCTTGTGATATAACGGGATTCATCTTTGGGAGGCCTTGACTGTTGTATCACAAGAGTGGTCATGTCCTACAGCCCTGGGAAACCACCAATAGCCAACCACAAACAAGAAACAACCAACAGCCAACAACCAACAGCGTGGGCGGGTGTGCTCACCATGCGCCAGGCATGCGCGCATTTGAGCGACATGCGCGCGGGCGGCTGTGCTTACCATGTGCCAGGCTGCGTGCATTTGATCGACGTGCGTGTGGGCGGGCGTGCTTACCATGTGCCAGGCATGAAATGGTGCATTTGAGCGACATAGGCGTGGGCGGGTGTGCTCACCATGATGCGTGCATTAAGCGACATGCGCGTGGAAAAGAAGAACAGCAAACCAACAGCAGCAGAGCGGCAGCAGTGCCAGCAGCGACTGTGAGATGTTTCGGGGACCCATCTTCCGATTCAAGGTCCTTGTTGAGGGGGGTCACATCCTACGCCCTCATCAGTATATTGTTGGAGGGAGGTGCCCTGTTCCTGAAGAAATTGGTGCCTTGCTACATTTGCCTTTGGAGCATGATCATCAGGCGTGTTCTATGGGAAGCTTTTTGCCAGATGGCAGCGCGATGCCTGTTTCCAGTCAGTGGTCCTAATGAGAGACAGCCACGCAATCACACTTGTGATAGGTGACTTTGAGCATGTAGCAGTTGCAGGAGGTCTGCTTGAAAAGGCGCTTGGGGTGTGCTCTTTTCCTCGGGCGACAAAGGTCCCTAGCCCCTATCTTGTAAGATCCTCGACTTTGGGGCGCCGGCCAAGCCGGCCCCATCACCCCCGCCAGGCACGCTTGCCTGTGCACAGCCTCGCTGCAAGTGCTGGCGCATCTTTGCCGCCAGTGCAATTCCATGTACCTCGACGACCTTCTGAGGCACCGGTTCAAATGACCACCCGAAACCAGACGCTTTGCCCCCGAGGGTTCTTTGTGCAAAACGAGCCTTTTAACCTTCACACTGTTGTGGTTCGTCTTCCTTTCGTGGCTGGTTGGAACCCAAAAAGAAGAGAAGAACACTTTAGAATCATTGGGGGTTTTGAATCAGCAGGATGTTATTTTTGGAGCGCCGAAGGCCTCCTGGCTTGTAGCAAGCCAGGGCCCACTGATGGTTTGACATCCAAACTGTTGGAGGAGGGTCTGTAGTGAAAGCGGGGGGGTAAGGTCAATGCCAGGAAATCAGGCCTATTAAGGGGTCTCTAGGGTCAGTGACGCCCTCCGAGTCGACCTTTCTGTTGGGCGTGGCCATGAAACAGGCCCCTAGGGACGTGTTGCCCTCTTTCATCATTGGTTTCACTGGGGGCCCGTGCCCAGAATGCCAATGAGATGGCCCCCCCCTGATGTTTTAAAGCCTCCACTGGGTCATCGCCTGCTGGGCCAACATCACCCAACATCACCACGTGGGCCGACATCATTTGTTGCTTCCATCAAGCCTGATTGAATACGCCTCCTTCCCAGGACACCAAAACCAGAAATCGGGTGGCCTTCTGGTCTGCAGGCTAGTCGGCGTCGAGCCGGGAGGGCTTGCCGCCAAATCGCCTTCAGGCGCGAGGTGCGGGACCTGAAGAGCCTGGAGCGGCTCATAAAGTGCCACGCCCAGGCCTTCCTGGGAAGAGCCCGCGGATCACGAAAATTTTGCCCACGACGCTGAGGGAAGCGAAAAAGAGGGGGCCTGGTTGGGTGTTGGGGTGGGGAGGGGGGGCAGGCAATTTTGTTCTGATACAGCTGGTCCCCTTTGTGCGGCATATCTGAAGTGACCCGCTTTGTCCTTGGGCAAAACACGAAGGGAATCGCATCCCATCCCAGCTGGGAGGCGTGCGCTGTAGGTTTGTCTCAAAAGCATGGGGGGGAGGGAGGGGGTGGTTTCGGACACCCGGATGGGTTGATTTGTAGTAGTAAGTGACCTTCATGGAGGGGCCCGCCACAGGTTTTAGAGCATCCCATCAGTGAGGGCTCAGCAAATTGGGGCCAAGACCGGCACGGAACTATTCCATCCTATCCCACAGGGCGGGCTTCGCCGAGTCTTGGCCCCCCCTTTGCCCGCTGCGGCGGCCTCGCACCTGCGGGTTGCGGTTGCTTCGGGAGGTTGGCACGAGTATTCATACGGGTTTTCATGGAGGACGTGGCGTGGATAGATCCCTCACTGCCCTCACTCCCTGGTGTCCCTATGCGGCGTTCTAGCGTTACTAGGCGAAAGCCTAGCGCCATGGTTTTGAGCGCTTGCAAGCGAGGCGGAGTGTATTTAGCACCTCGACCTGCACCAACTGGCAGGAGGAAAGTGATGACGAAGTCAAGCGTTGCCAGGTGTTGGTTTGCGCTGGCGGTTAGCGTCAAAGTTTATTGCCAGCAGCGCTGTGCCCACGTTTGAAGGTTTCATCAGTTTCATCCCAATAGCGAACACCCATGTTCACCAGCCGCACCAGCCGGGCGCCCAGCAAGGTGTACAGCTCCAGACGCGCAGGCTGCCGGCAGCGGGGCGGGTCAGTGGGACCGGTGATGGCAAGATAGTATGGTGTCAAACCGCCTCTGTCTTCTTACTTTGATAAGAGTGGCTCCTTTTGTTGTCTATGTTGTCTACTATAACAATAAAATGACATGCAAACGATGCACGGACTACTATCAGGCGAGCGTAGCCTGCTTGACCATCCCCCTGTTTTACCAGAGTGCCCTACTGTTTCGGGGTTTGCATTTCCACTGACATAAGCAGCCCCCATTGAAAGGGGTTCTACACTACTAGAGGCGCTGTGCAATTGTTGCACACACAGTAAAAGAGGCAAACCATGTCTTGCTTTGTCTTGTCCAAAAGACCCAGATGTAGACGGTTGACCTTGTGGGAGTTTGACTAGACCTGAGTTCAACACTGAGTTGAATTGTACCCACATCCCCATCATGGAACCCTCGGTTTAGTAAACCCCTGAATGTTGAATGCGGGGTACGAGTCTAGTCAGGACCCTTCACCTTCCTTGGGCGCACCTGCCAGTGGGAAATATGTTTGCTTGGTCAAAACCCGTGCTCTTCCCGGCATGTGCTGTTGGCGTGGTTTCTCAATTGATTGGGAATAGTTCCTTCGAGATTCCTGCAATGAAGGGTTCCATGAGCGTAAGGATACCCCCACGCCTTCAGGCTTTACCTTTTGCCACCTCTTGTGGTAGAATACTAGAGGCGCCCCCTCAAAATAAGGGTAGAACCCCTGAGATGAAAGCCACAGGGGGCTTGACACGTGACCTGGGCACGTTCTTGCCGAATGGTGTCAGGGGTGTTGGCTAAAATGAGGGGACTGCAATGACTGCGCCTAGTGTTTGCTAGGGTTTCCATTTGCTCCTCTTGCTCGGACTTTGGAATCCCTTCCCAGTGTCTCTCATGTTGGTTTCTCTGCTAACCCCTCTTCCTCGTTTTTCGCATTGAACCGATTTGAACGAATCATTCCAACTTCCAACTCGTTTGAACCCAACATCTGGCGATCTTTGTTGGGATCAATGAACTTCCTTTGCCGGCCAGCAACGTCCCAGGCCTGCCAAAACCTGGCAGAAAAATCCAGCGCGCGGGTTGCGAGGAAGCTTCCACGTGGATGCTCAAAATGACGGAGGTCCAACTTGACTTTTGAAGAAGGATCTCTCAGCACTTTCGTGTTTGCTGGAAGGATGGTATAACTTTCTCCCTTCATGGACCAAGTTTGGGCTGGCCAAAGTCAGGTCTGGTGAATGCTAGCCATTGGCTCCTTCCCCAGCAGCTAGCACCCCCGGGTTTAGCAAGCTACGGAGCCCTCGGAACTGGACCCAAAACGGAAGACCATACGGAGCAACCTCTCGCGCCGCAAAGGGACGAAAAGGAACAGAATACATCTCCAATCGAGACTGGGATGCATCACAGAAGATTCCGAAAGGAAGTTTCAGGACGAAGGTATGCCGCAATGAATTTTCCTAGGAAGTTGATGAAGACAGCACCCAAAAAACATAATTCTTCCACGGAAATAGTTTCGTCTTTAGATAGGCGTTTTTGGGTTCTATGTTGACCTATTGATATGGAGACCTTTTAAGGGGCCCGTCGTGGCGGCCAACGCGTGCCTGATGGCAGGACCCTAGCTATATGAGCCTTTGCCCTTTTCCAAATCATCTTGTCATGGCAGCGGAGCAGTTGCTGTGTCCTGGCTGTGTGTGTGTGTGTGGCTCGTTCTTTCCTGCACACACTTGGTGGTGAGTGTGTGCGTTTTTGCGCGTGGGATCCTTCCAATGTCCAATATTAATAAACATACGTATTGATGTTTGGCTCCTAGACTGGTATTATTTGAATCTTACACTACTTATCATCGCTTGGTTAGCGGACTGACATCGTTGGTCGTCAATGGCTCAAACTCCGTCCGTTTGTATGAGGGCATCGGCTCAGCAATAAAATTACGTTAACATAATTCTTGCAGGCGCCCCTGAAACACAAAGAATTCCCCAAAACGCCCGCCGCAAGAAGCAACCATTTCACGTCATGCATGGCTGGGCTTTCGGGGATCAAATGAGCAGGAAATGCATGGCCATGTGAAAGCAAGCCAGCAAGCAAATGAGCAAACTAGAGGTTCCAAAGCACCGCGTATAACAAATTGCATATAGATATATATATATATACATACATATAATAAGATGTACTACAGCGGGTGCAGTCAATACAATACATACATGTATACACATTCAAAGCCTTCTGTTTGCAGCCTTTCTCGGCGCCTCGGTGTGCCTTGCATTCCTCCACGATGCAGCGCAAAGGCAGAGCTCCGCCCAAGGCTGCGGATGTGACATCCGATCCATCGCCTGTCAAAGCTGACAACCGTGGCCCGGCAAAGAGTCCTGGGTG